TTTTTAAGTTTACAGAAAACATGTGTTAGAAATTGGACTATATCTCGCGTATCGTTAATGATATTAAAATATTGTTTTCTTAATTTGATTAAGCAAGAGTTACTCTTTATGATACACTATTATCATCCCTCAAAAATTCCCAAAAAAAGGCCTTAAATCCGCCGCTAATATTAAGCAAATTTTTTGATAAACTTCATCAATTTCTCAACTTTGGGCTCGTTTTTCATAAATTTTAATCGAAATAAAACAAACAAGCATATTAAAATATCAATAAAATAAATGTTAGGTACAAATTTAGATTCACAGAATATTATAATTATCAAATTACAACTTCCGGTATTTGCTCGACTTGCCTTTTATCGGAAACACGTTGCGTGTGATTGATTATACCAACATATATGTACCTACTTTCATTCATAATACTAGATATTATTAACAATATTGACATTATGCACTAACGATCGTGGCATACATTCCTGTTTGAATAGGTCCTTTGTTGACGCGGTGGTAGTTTCGCTGGTCCGGTTATTCCGGTCAATACATGTGTCTTTTAAGCATCAAGAAAATGTGAGCGTAACTTATTAATATTAACACAATCGATCTTATTTACATATTTATGGATTATATTGAAAATTTATGCAATATACTCACAACTCATAATACTTATTATTCATATAAATTGTTAAAATCAAATAAAACAAAAATAAAAAATAAAAAATTAAAAATTAAAAAAAAATATTTAATATTTGACTTGCCGTATAAATACCGAACACAGCAAAACGCACATAAAATATAAAAATTTATAAAAAACCAGCTTTAACCTTTGGCTTCGCTCGCGAATATCTAAAATAATGAAGTTGCTTCCGTACGCGTCTGTAGTCACAGAAGAAGTAACAATGAAGTAGAATGGCGGGAAGTTTAAAATGGCTGAAAGTATAGTCTATGGAAGTATAGTGTACAGTCTCCATAGTGTAGTCAATTGGATTTGATGTTGACGTAGCTGTCGGTAATACAGTGTGATAATACAGTGTGATGGTACTATAGTACTTAGGTTTGAGCTTCATTGCTGGAATGCTAGATGGCGTTAAAGTAGTCAATTAGCCAGATGCAGAGGTATTATTGGCTAAACAATTTCTTTATTTTATTTAAAAAATAATTTTTTTATTAAATAAAAAGTAGCCTAACCATTCGGGGACCACTAAGAATATGTGTACAAATTTTCATGATGATCGGTTAAGTAGTTTTTGCGTGAAAGTGAAACAAACATCAGGACTTTCGCATTTATAATATTAGTAAAGATTCTTAAGGCTACTTAACTTTTGATTATACATTCTTATCATGGCACGTGTTCTTTTTATTATTTATAAGTACTTGATGTTGTTTACTGCTGATGTGCATGTGTTAAAAAATAAAACGCAATGAAAGAAGCCGCATAACGATAAAAGCAAATCGATGCATTAGGCGCGCGACGCTCATTAAATATCACTTAAAAACTTGCGTTTAATTCACTTACGCGTACGACTTTGAATCCAATAGTTACCAAAGTTGAACAAGTTTTACACGCGTACACTACACGCCCAAGAAACCGGAATAATCACAAGTCAATACTTGATTCTAGCTCCAATTACACACTGAGTGATTTATGCGTTATTATACACTCGTCGTGTTTAAATTTTATATTTAGTGCAATTGTAAATTATGATCTGCTTCCAGTTGTAGTATTACTATTACTATTAGTAGGTATTAGTATTTTAAGTTAAGTACGGGTACTTATCGTACTTAATGTTAGTCTGTTAGTCGAAAGCCACTCTTGCCTCTAGGCCGCATTAATTTATTCATGCGGCGGCACGCATCGCGCACGCCATTAAGAATAATTGCCGCCCGCAATTAATAATTTATTCGCGTTACCGTTCTCGTCGCGACACCAACGACATCACTTTGCCTAATGCTACAATAATACTCGGCGATGTCGGCTGTACTCACATTATTATCGTCGCATCTTCACACGCTTATATTATATTCATATTTTCATACTCTTAACATTACTTAATAGTATTATCCAGAATGACAAATGTTTTCAAGTTTTGTATTTTTTTTTTTTTTGGTCTTATATGAAGAACTACGGTCTAAAAATGACAAAACATGTTTTTTATTAGTTTTTTTATGATAACTCAAACATTTTAGAAGATAAATTAATTTTTCTTATTGTATTAAATTTGTAGGTAAATTCCTAATCGTTTGATGTTTTTATCGGTTCAATAGTTTAAATATATAAAAAGTTATAAATAATCAAAATTTGACTTTAAATTTAATTGTTTATTTCTAGTTTTTTTTTACGCTAACGCGTATTAATAAATTAAATATAATTATTTATTTATAAAAATCGATAAGGAATTAAATTTTGAATCAAATCACGAAAAGATAAATTATTTAACGTGTTTAGAATTCGAGTTATTTTTAATCAAAATCAAGAATTCAAATTTAAACATTTTTAGACCGCTATTCTGCACATAATGTTTTTAATTATGCTAACATGAATTTAATATACTTAATTCCTATTTTTCACTTAATAATCTTAATATCTTAATAAACTTGATGTCTAAATCTAAAAATAATGCAAATTCACTAATTATTAACTAAACATAAGTGCTATATGCCATCATAAACCTCGGTTTCTGTGCGGTTTTCTTAACTTCTGGTACCGCAAAGTGTAAAATGTGTAAATGGTATTTAAATTCGTTTTCGCATGGCGCGTATGTTTTGTGTGTTTTGTGGTCGTCGGCCGGTTGTGATCGTGGTGCTCAATGCTCAATGTCGTGCGTGTTGGACCTGCCCGACTGATAAAATGAAGCAATTAAATCCGAGTCGAACTCGCTGAACGGTACAAGCTTGTTGTGTGTTTTTTTTTTGTGTTGTGTTTGTCAACTTTACCTACATCCAATTCGAACTGCTTGAAACGTGTACCTGTACTACCAGTATTCGCACCTGTACCGATATTGGTGAAATAATCGAACGGATCAAGCCGGGCGCACGCGTTTCGAACTTTAGATTTACAGTTTTAAACTTGAGAGTTGAAAAGTTGTACTTGCGAGAGTTGCTGTTTTAAAATGCAACGTGGAACAAAAAAATTACGCGACTACATCGTCGCGAACGGTAGAAGTTCACTAACATTTTAATTACAACTTAAAATAAATGTTTACTTCATGTTTTATAAGCAATTATTTATATATTTTAAAGTTTAAACACAAAAACCGTTATTTTGAATGTTATTTTTTAATTTTTAAGTATTGCGGAAGATTTTGGTAAGAATTCAACCGGAATACATTAAAAAACTGCGGAAAATTTAAAATTTTGAAACTTTGACGAGTTATCAAGGTAATAACACCACTAAACAGCTCATTATCAGTTAAACATTTAAAATATTCTGTGTAAATAGTCTGTGTAAAGTTGTTTCCGTACGCGTCTGTAGTCACAGAAGAAGTAACAATGAAGTAGAATGGCGGGAAGTTTAAAATGGCTGAAAGTATAGTCTATGGAAGTATAGTGTACAGTCTCCATAGTGTAGTCAATTGGATTTGATGTTGACGTAGCTGTCGGTAATACAATGTGATAATACAGTGTGATGGTACTATAGTACTTAGGTTTGAGCTTCATTGCTGGAATACTAGATGGCGTTAAAGTAGTCAAATAGCCAGATGCAGAGGTATTATTGGCTAAACAATTTCTTTATTTTATTTAAAAAATAATTTTTTTTATTAAATATAAAGTAGCCTATAACCATTCGGGGACCACTAAGAATATGTGTACAAATTTTCATAATGATCGGTTAAGTAGTTTTTGCTTGAAAGTATAGCAAACATCAGGACTTTCGCATTTATAATATTAGTAGGGATTTCCACCGAATAAATATTTTAACCAGAAAATATAAAAATAAATACTTAACATTATAATAACACGATTAGGAAACATAAAAGCGGTACGCAATGCTTATCACTCGATCACATACTCATCTTGAAAGCATTTATTTTTTCATTTTTATAATGGTCGCAAACCGGGTTAAATTTTTATCGGAACTTGTATTCATTCCGGTACTCTCTATACGCTACTCTACATCTACATTTACATCTGCATGACTACATTCAGAGGCAGACTCATAACACACAGTTTCATGTAGAATGCACATGAGTGTACGAGCATTATTAGTAGCTAGTGCTACTAGTGCTAGTTACGACAAGAGTACACTCAATGGCGAACATTTAGAATGGAGCACACTCACAGTCCCGCATCCGCCATTGCGTTATCAGCGCGTGGTTTGCAACAGACAAAAAACTGCGAGTTGTGTTAAAAATTTAATGACTAATGACTAAAATACAGGAAAGTACTGTTAAAACCTACATAGATTGCGAGTAACTGTATTGAATCAAAAAATTATAAATAAAAATAAATTTAAAAATTGATGCAAAGAGGTTATGTGAATAGTAACGCCATCTATTTATTAAAAGCTTTAAAAATATTTGACGTTTTTGATTTGCACTGTAGATGTACACATGTTAATATCTTTGAAATGCGTTTTTGCTCGGTTGCTGTATCCGTTTGTATTTTTTCCTGCAATAATGTGCAATCGTTCAATGCGTCCCTTGATAACACAAACGCCATGCCAGATAAGCGGGCGAATATTCGAACGTTTGTGGCTGTACACATCTCGTTCCTCGACGTTCAAACATTCGAAACGTTTGAAACACTAGCCGTTCAATCATGCATGTTTTTCCTTCATTTTAAATGCTTTTGATTTTCTTTTTTATTATTTTTTTTACATGGTATCTTTTTATAGTGCGTGAAATACTAGATGTTAATTCCGAGCGAATTTTAATTACTTAATCATTTATTTACGTTGAACTCGATAATGAACTTCAAAGTTGATTTTCGATGATTAAGTGGGGACACGCTCAATGTGACGTGAGCAAGTCAACTTTGTGCTTGGGCATTTAAAGAGACCGGTTCCGCTCAATCAACTAGTCGCATCTCGACGGCCGTCTCGCCAACAGCCAAGCATTTTCGCTGAACTTAAGTTAAGTAAAGTTGGTTTGAAATCAACATGGATTGTGGATGTGCCCCGCCGAATTTAGGCGGAAGCCTAAGTGCTACCTGTGGGTCTACATTGCTCTTCATGACCCTGTTGGATTCTTTTATTACAAATAAATGTGATATTTCGGAGATTTGTCAGAGGGTCAGGCATACAGTCACCCCTGATTTGGAATACGACTATGTTGTCATAGGAGGTGGCAGTGGAGGTGCCGTTGCTGCAGGGAGACTTGTTGAAGAAAATATGGGGAAAGTGTTACTGATTGAAGCTGGAGGTGATGAACCACCGGGTACCCAGGTGCCCTCGATGGTTCTAAATTATTTTGATAATCCGGAAGTTGATTGGCAGTACAAAACTGAACCGGAACCAGTTGCTTGTCAAGGTAAATAATTTTAAAAACTTTCTATTAAAAATCTAAAAAATATTTTAAAATAATTTTACAGGTTACCCTGAAAAACGCTGTGATTGGATCCGAGGTAAAGTCTTAGGTGGTTGCGGTGTGCTCAATGGTATGATGTACATGAGAGGTGTACCACGAGATTTTGATAATTGGGAAGCTGCTGGTAACCCAGGTTGGAGTTACAAAGATGTTTTGCCAGTTTTCAAAGCCCAAGAAGATAATCAACAGATTGGGACATTAGTTGATGCGGAGTACCATGGTACAGGTGGACATTTGACAGTTGCACAATTCCCTGACCATCCTGAGTTTGCTGATGATATTCTTATGGCTGCCCAGGAGATTGGTCACACTGCTAGTAATGATCTTAATGGAAAGGACCTGACTGGGTTTACCATTGCTCAAACTAACAATAGGTAAAGTATAGGTACCTTTCTAGTTCTTTGAGAAAATATTTATATATTTTGTTTTATTAGAAATGGAACTAGGTTGAGTGCTGCAAGGGCTTACCTCCGACCAAACAGGGACAACCCAAATCTTCACATTATGCTCAAAACCTTAGCAACCAAAGTGACCGTACAAAATGTCAACGGACAAAAGAAAGCTACTGAAGTACATTTTGAACACCAAGATAGACCCTACAAAGTCCGTGTTCGTAAGGAGGTTATCATGGCAGGAGGTGCTATTAATACTCCGCAGGTCCTTCTACTTTCTGGTATTGGTCCCAAAGATGAACTCAACAGATTAAACATTCCAGTTGTTCATGAACTACCAGGAGTTGGTAAAAACCTTCAGAACCACGTTTCATTCTTCTTGTCTTTTACCCTTAAGAAAACAGATAACTACAATGACCTTGACTGGGCCGAAGTGATGAATTATATCTTGAAGAGAGAAGGACCCATGACTTCAACTGGTATGTCTCAGGTGACAGCTAGAGCCAACTCCAAATACGCAGACCCAGCTGGTAACTACCCAGATTTACAAGTGTTTTTCTCTGGTTACCTTGCTAAATGTTCTACGACTGGTGAGGTTAAATCCGCGACTGACCCTGAACACCCTGAAGCACCACGATATGTTGGTATGGCTCCTGTTAACCTACATCCAAAGAGTCGTGGGTATTTAACACTCAAATCCCAAAATCCATATGATCCACCATTGATGTATGGAAACTATCTTACTGAACCCGAAGATGTGAAGACCTTAGTTGAAGGTGTCCGTTTAGCTCTGGCTGTTTCCAAATCAAAGCACTTGGTTAACAAGTATGGAATGGAATTGGTCAAGGATGATTATGGTGATTGTGATAAACTCCCATACGATTCCGATGATTTCTGGGGTTGTGCAGTAAAACACTCTACAGGTCCAGAGAACCATCAAATTGGTACCTGCAAAATGGGTCCAGATTCCGATCCAAATGCAGTCGTAAACAACGAACTACAAATCAAGGGTATTCCCAACATGAGAGTTATGGATGCTTCCGTTATTCCTGTCTTACCAAGTGGTAACACAGCTGCTACCATCATGATGTTGGCACATAGAGGAGTTGATTTCATCAAAAAGACACAAGGACCAGATGTACCCGATTTAGGAAACAGAAATCAAGTACGCCCACCATCTTTCAGTGGCAGACCTCAACATGGCCCCCATCAAAACCAAGGATATCTCCCACCTTATAATTTTGCTCACCATCATAATATGGACTTCCATAATCGACACCCAGAAATCCCAAATCCGTTCGAACAAAGAGGTTATAACACAAAATCTCTTTGATATATATTTTTATCCATTTTATTGTGATTTATGTTAATTATTTTTATCTTAACAATGAAGTGAAGATCCAAATGTATTGCAAGGATGACAATGATATTAATCTTAATAAAAATAAGCTTTGTTCCTTTCATATTGAGAAATACAGTAACAATTTACTCGAAGATATTTATATTTTTTATGTTTTACAACAGTCGTAAATTTTAAAAAGTTCCATTTATCATTGCTTGGCTCATTTATTGCTCAATTAGATATGGTTATACTACGTACATTCTGTATATTTTATGAATATCCTTATCATCGCTATAAAATGGCGTAGGGAAAGCAGCTTGGTGTTCAGTTCAATCGACACGTTTTAAATATAAACATAGAAAAGAATACAGTGACCTTGAAAAGTATTTCTACAATGTCAGGAGTTGCTCCGTGTACTAATCCCTACATTGCTACATCAGTAGCAGGAGTATGTGGGAGTTACTTATTCATGACCATGTTGGATGAGTTTATCCGGAACCATACGGATATTTCTGGTTTATGTGATCGTGTGGTACCAGTGACCATACCAGATGAAGAGTATGATTTTATTGTTATTGGAGGAGGCAGTGGAGGTGCAACTGCAGCTGGTAGGCTAGCAGCTTTCAAAAATGGAAGGTTCTCCTTGTAGAAGCTGGAGGTGATGAACCACCGGGAACAGAGGTACCTTCAATGTTTCCAGTGTTTACTCAAGTGTCTACTTTGGGTTGGAATTATAAAACCGAGCCGGAACAAAATGCTTGTTTAAGTAGGTACATAAAATCAATGTCCATGGAATTATTAATGTTCTATTATGTACTTTATAGACATGCCACAACATAGATGTGATATTATCAGAGCTAAAGTCCTTGGTGGATGTAGTGTGGTCAATGGCATGATGTATATTAGAGGTATACCTCAAGATTTTCAACGATGGGTTGAAGCTGGGAATACCCACTGGGGATATGATCAAGTATTACCATATTTTCAAAATATTGAAGATAATAGAGAACTTGGAACAGTAGCTGATTTTGGTTATCATGGTGTTGAGGGACCTTTGACTATTTCCCGGTTTCCGGATTATCCTGCGTTTGCTGATGATTTTTTGGCTGCTGCTGAGGAATTAGGGTTTGGGTATAGTCAAGATTTAAATGGGGAGAATATTAGTGGGTTTGCCATTGCACAAACTACAAACAGGTAATTAATTTTTTTTAATCTGTGATTTAATAACTAATGAATATCTATAGAAATGGTACCAGATTAAGTGCCTCCAAAGCATTCCTCTGGCCACAAAGGTTCAACCCAAGTCTACACATTATGTTGAATACCACAGCAACAAAATTGGTCTTTGATCAACCACATCATCGTGACTTCAAACACAGAAGACCAAAAAAGGTGAAAGCAGTTCAACTAGTATACAACTGCCAATCGTTTTTGTCAAAGCCCGTAAAGAGGTTATAGTTGCTGGAGGAACCTTCAACTCTCCACAACTCTTGATGTTATCTGGAATAGGACCTAGAGATCACCTATCCAGTTTAAACATTCCTGTTCATATTAATCTCCCTGGCGTTGGTCAAAACTTCCAGAACCACGTTTCCTTTACAATGACCTATGCGTTGACCAAAATGAGCAACACCAATGACCTAACTCTAGATGCGCTTAATCAATATTTTGCTTATCATACTGGACCAATGAGTTCCACAGGTCTGTCACAAGTTACAGCAAGACTCAGTTCTAAATACGCTCGACCCGATGGAACATGGCCAGACCTTCAATATTTCTTCAATGGATTCGCAGCTAGTTGTGGAACAAATGGATCATTCTTTGATGCACCAACCTCATCACCTTATAAAACATTTGATATAGTTCCTGTTGTTTTACATCCAAAATCAAGAGGACAGATTAGACTTAAGTCAACAAATCCGTTTGATGCACCATTGATAGAGTTGAATGATTTGAAACATCCTGATGATGTGGCTACCTTGATAGATGGTATAAGAATAGCTCAGTATATAGCAACCGCAAATATTTTAACACAAAAATATGGTATTAGCCTAGTGAAAGGTAACTATAGTTATTGTGAAAGTGCATTTACGTATGATTCGGATGCATTTTGGGAGTGTGCTGCCAAATATGCCACGACGCCTGAGAATCATCAAGTTGGCACCTGTAAAATGGGTAATGACAAGATGGCGGTTGTAAACCAACAGCTCCTAGTGAAAGGCACAAGTAATCTTCGGATTTTAGATGCTTCTGTTATACCTTTTGCTGTTTCTGGCAACACTGCCGCTACAATCATGATGGTTGCCAATCGCGGAGTTAGTTTTATAGTTGAAAAGTACCTTAATGATCTTCTTACCTGAAATAAAATAAAAATTGTATTAATACAAATACAAATATTAAATATATAAATATCTGAACACATGGTATGTTTATGATATTTTTAATATAGGTTAGTTCTTTAAGTGGTATCGACGTTGGCAGGTGTTTCGGCTGGTTCGGGGGCGGCGCATGCATGGTAAATGCGCGTGCGAGATGTAAAGATGTAAATGGAAATTCATTTTTCATGTTGCAATCTACTCGACGCCAGCGGGTGAATGTTGGGTGCACTGGGGGTGGGGGAGTATATTCGACATTGCCACCGTCGCCGCCACCACCATCCATAATACAACCGTATACTCAAATAAGTATTTATCAAAAAAATTAAAAATAGTAAAAACAAATTTTTAGGTTAAATTTTTTTAGGTTAGGTTAGGTTAGGTTATATTATGTTATGATAGGTTAGGTAAGTATTTTTACACACGAGTTTTTTAAAGTATTTGCAAGTATTCGAATGAGTTGCATAATTGGCAGTGTAAAATTGCAGGCGTATGCACGATTAGCACAACAATGTTGTGGCACCGAATTGTTGACGAATGAGAGTTTGTGCCCGCGCATACGTTTAAGCTTTTCCGCGGCATTTCCGCGCAAGCATACACTAATTGCAACTTTGGCAGTGGCTCCATTAGTCCGCAAACAATGGCGTTGTTTCAACAAATAACGATCGCAAACAGACGAACAACGATCGTAAACTTTACGCGTTGAAAACTTTACAACAATGCTTGCAACAATTGAACAATACTCAACATCACACAACCTCTACTTTCATAACTAGTAATTATAACCTAAACTATACACTAGTGCATAAAGATAAGCATTAATCACGCTGTGGATAATCCACGCATTTAAAACCTAATTGTGATTTTTTAGTTTTGGTGTCAATGTGGGTAAAGTTATTGTTGATGAAATGAATATATCGCTGTGTAGGAAAATGTTCGCGGTCGGAAGTGGTGGAAAGAAATACATCATAATAAATACGTTGGCGTGACGTTTAAAAGGCGCATAATGACCACTTGTCAATGAGAAGCGTGCTTAATCTATGTTCGTTCACCTGCCTCGCGCTCGCCTGCGGCCCACCGAACACTCTTCCAAGTTTTTCCACTTTTCCACTAAACCCAGCCGAGCTTTTCACACACCCACATACAATCACACTCACACAAATCGTTCCGCGTGTATTCTACACGTGAGTACAAATAAAGTTGCTTGGAATGGCCTATTTTTTAGACTAACAAGCAAAATAAAACCTGTCAGGACTAGAGTCATTTATCAGGACACACTGTATGTACCTAATTATACCTTATCTAAAATATTAACTACATTGGAATTTTAAAAATTTAAAATTTGATTTTTTGTTATTATTTCTTGTTTTGCTGGACAGACTATATATTCATTCGAAGTCACTAGTTCAGTAAATATTCCTAACTGCCATTTTACATTTTCCGAGTAGTGGCGCAGCTGTATGAAAGTAGGAAAACTAGAATTGACTCCGTCGGCAGCGAAAAGCGCAGCGCGAACGTGTTTGCGGTCTCAATAACTAGTTAAAAAGCTGCTAATTAGTCATGCGACGGCGGCACGAAATGCGCCGCCACACATCCGCACACATCATCGTCATCCGGCTAATATATGCGCGTGGCGTTTTACCAGGAAGCGTCTATTACCGACCAACCCTTCTCTGTGTGCTATAAGGGGTGCTGGAGGGTAAACTAGAGATGTGAGATAACTGCGCGTTTTTCAAATACACGAGTGAAAATGGGTTTATTACCTGTCACACATTTTTAATGGCTATATTTTACTATTACTGCCCTAGGGCCGTTAAGATGGTTTTACAGCCCGCAAAATAATTTTTATGAAAATTAATCAAATTATTTTTATAATGAAAAAATTAAAAGTTTTTGTTTTTACGGCTCTAGAGCGATTATAATAGTTTTACAGCCCTAGGGCGGTAAATAATTTTACAGCCCGCAATTTTTTTTTTATTTTAAACAAAATGACTTTTGATATATAAAAATATAAATTTTTAATTTTTACAGCTCTAGGGCGACTAAAATAATTTTACCGCCCGCTTAATAAAAATCAACTTTTAAAACTTTCTGTATTACATTCCGTAGCTTGTGTTTCCAACATCATCACCTTATAAAACATTTGATATAGTTCCTGTTGTTTTACATCCAAAATCAAGAGGACAGATTAGACTTAAGTCAACAAATCCGTTTGATGCACCTTTGATAGAGTTGAATGATTTGAAACATTCTGATGATGTAGCTACCTTGATAGATGGCATCAGAATAGCTCAGTATATAGCTACCGCGAATATTTTAACCCAAAAATATGATATTAGCCTAGTGAAAGGAAACGCAAAATAATTTTTATGAAAACTAATCAAATTATCTTTATAATGTAAAAATTAAAAATTTTTGTTTTTACAGCCCTAGAGCGATTAAAATAGTTTTACAGCCCTAGGGCGGTAAATAATTTTATAGCCCGCAAAAACTTTTTTTTTAAATTTTAAACAAAATGACTTTTGATATATAAAAATATAAATTTTTAATTTTTACAGCTCTAGGGCGACTAAAATAATTTTACCGCCCGCATAATAAAAATCTACTTTTTAAACTTTCTATATTACACTGCGTAGATTGTGTTTCCAACGTTAACTTTTCATAAATTCAAAGATATATCTGCTGCCCCTGTGTTTGGATTTTCCACAGACATGTTGGGAAAGATACGATCGCGCAAACAAAACGAAAAACCATCCGAGCGTGTTTTGCCACCCCCACGGTGAAGTCGAAAAGGCAAACGCAAAAGGCGAAAGATTCACAAGCGACAGGCACGTTTAAGCAAAAACCCACGGCGGGCGGAATGTATGATGTAAAGTAATACTCGCCGCCGCGGGGGCGGCCGTTTCTTAGCGCGATAGTTCCCCCCCAAAAACGCGTCTCACAGAAGAAGGTTAGACGGCTCCCATCCACACACACACATACTCGTATATGCGGCGTATGCAGTCGGCTCGTAAATTTTACAAATCCTCTCGAACGTCGACTTGACCCTATTCGGGGCTGCGCCGCCGCCGCCGGTGTAAGGGTGTAAATCATTTCCTTAACGCCTCACGCTTGCGAAACATCCGCAGCATCGCCGCGATATTATTCTCTTATTTCGGGTGGTTTTACGTCGTTTTCGCCGGCGGTATTATGTGTCATGTGTGATGTACATTGTGCCACGTTGGGAATAACACTTTTATCGTGAAGGGTTTGTTTTCTTAACGTTTAAAACACACGCAGACATTTTAATAATTAAGCGGAACAATGTTTGACTTTGATTCGTTATAACTTGGAAACCTCTAAATGAAAATTACTCAAATTTTTACTAAAAGTTTAATAATTTATCTGGTATTCATTAAAATTATAAACAAATTTAGTAACAATTGTATATAAGGTGTTAATTACTTTTTAATAACAAAAATAATAAATTTAATTTTAATTTTCGATTTAAATTTGAATTTTACACCAAAAATTAATTAAAAAACACAATTTTACTTTGATAATTAGAAAGTATGTTTAATTTTTAATTATGGTGTTAAAAATCAGTTTTGTATTTTAATTAGTTTAGCGTAGATTGCAAAAATAAAAACAATTTACATAATTTATGAATATAATTTCAGGAATCGATTTCCTAGACTAATCCACCTTAGTCTCTCACCAGCATGTTTACTTTTACGCAACCAGATTTCATCCCCAGTTCAACCATCTGCCATTGCCACCCTCGAGCTAAATTCCGCTCTCTATTATTATGCTCCGTTTTGTCCATTTCTATGAGCACTTTCCGTATTAGTATGTCCGAACGGCAGTTGAAATCTGGTCAAACTAATTATACGGCCGAGGCGAACCGAGAGATTGGGGGGCGGCTGCGGCTACCTTTCAAATCCGACTGTTCGAGCGCCGCGTCGCGCGCGCTTTAATGAGCGCCGCTGCCCCCCAGGAGACCTGACACTGACAACGTTTCGACCGCATGTTATTCAATGCCCTCCTCGCGTGCAAACGCCGCCGCCGCCACCGCCATCGCCAATCTCGGCATTCGCGGACTGAAAACGTCCAAAACTGTGCAAGATGTAAATGGCGTTTTGCTATGTTTGGGAAAACAGCCGGCGACTGAGGGAAATTAGTGTCGAGGGAAGGTGGAAATTTCACCGAGGATGGAATTTTCAACATTTGTGTTTGAGTGCATTTCATAACCAAAGTTAAGGTACATGTTAAAATCAACACTATAATATTCACAGATAAAATAAAAAATTTAAAAAAAATTTTTTTTATAAATTAAGATAAAAATAACAAATTTCAGGATTTTACTCAAAACACACAACATATTTATGTAGTTTTTCTTTTTAAATCATACCCATGCTATTGTTGTTCGTTTTCATTTTTCCGAACGTATTGTGCCTGTTTTTTCGCGTTTCCCAGAATGTTTTGGTGTTTGTCCTGCGCATTCAGGCACGTGTCGTACACATCTTTGCAAAACCCGCTTTCGCCCGTTGTGTGATTTTGATAAATAATCTAAATTTCCTCGCTGGAGCACGAGGGCGCACAATGCCGTCACTACTGCCGCCGCCAGTGGCGCGCCTGCACTCGGCTCTATTCTAACGTGCTCAGTCAGTTTTTGACAGATTTAATAAAATTGCCAACGCCAGAAACCACCACAGTCAGCCAACCAAATACACACACCATCGACTAAACCACCCTGTTGGGATTCGGGTTTTTATGCAATAAACACTTGATAACATTTTTTGTGTTAAAACATTTATAGAAATGTTTAGTGGCTGGAGGTGTCAGTAGGCACTGGTGACGAGATGGTCTGGATGATATGCGAGCGGCGCGATATTAAATAACTGCGTAATTAATTAAAGCGCGCGACGCGCCCGACGACTGCGATTATGAGTGCGGCGGCGGAGGCATCCCCGGGAGACGGTGGCGGCGGTGGCAACACGTCACGCTGCTGTGCTGGGTTTTACGAGGCGACGTGGCCGACGTGCCCACACGAATTACTTCTACATA